TTTGAAACTCCACCAAAAACTGATCCATCCCATGGCGAGATGAAGAGGTCCTCGTAGACGAGGATTCGAATAGAGTGAAAGAAATCGAGTAACAATTGAATCTTCTGTATTATCTACCAAACCCAAATACACAAAATATTCTTGAAAAGTCAAATGTAAAAACCCATAAATGCAGAGTGATCGTGCAGCAACGATTCCTGCATCTTCACTAAGCAGTTGCATTAATTCATTTGTCTGCTGCCGAATATCAATCCAAGTAGGTGAAATTGAATTAGTATTTTTATCATACCATCGTTGAAGTGATAAACGACATAAATGGACTAAATCGAGTTCATCAATCAAACCTGATCCTAGGCGAGAATGAATGTAGAAAGCAATGTTAGAGAAGAGTGACATGAGCGCATCTTTAGGAATATTCAATTGACGATGTTGCCACCTTTCAAGCTTCAATTCTGCTACTTGCTGGTAAAGTCGAACTCGACTTTTTTCAAGAACATCAATACCATATCGAGTGAATAACATACAGATAATTGAGAGAACAGAAACATTCGATGCGAGCGATTCTAATCCTTTTTCTTCTTTGATCTTAGAAATCAAAAGTTTCGCATTAAGCCAATGTGGAATTAGGATTTTCTTCCTTTTAATATCGGGGATATTTTGAATAAGTACATGATTGATTTCATCCTGAACATGCAAACACCAATTATGAATAAAACAATAAAGGTAATCGATGTTCATCGGTTGAATAAGATAATGCGAAATCATTGGACCAGATAGAGGTTGGGCGTTGTAATTGACAATTCGACTTGTTATAACAATTAGATTTCCTCCTAATAAACCTTCACACTGGAAATCCGATGTCAATTCCGTATTTGCCAAACGATCATTATCAAATGGTGAGACAAATTCGTTTGACATACAATGAGATTCCATGAAAGTACGTACCAAAGCAACTATTCGACCATGTAACTCGAACGTTGCTATTTCATCTAATCCGTCAAGAATAATCAATGCATTTCCATGTCGAACAAATTCTTTTAACATTTCAAATTTCTGGCATACGTAAGTTTGACCAAGCCATGTCTGTTGTCCAATGTAATCGAATAAAGTCCCAGTAGGATATCGATCTAACCACTGAACAAATTCTCCTATTCGAATCAAGATTGGAATACGTGGAGATCCCATATTGATATCATGAAGAACTACATTTTCCTTCTCGACCAAAACAGATTGAGCAAACTTCCAAGTCAACCATCGTACAAAGGTTGTTTTTCCACTACCTGCACTACCCAAAAGTACCATCCAACGCTCGTTTCGAACTGATTTAATCAGATCAATGAAACTCACATCTTTTTTGGACTCCTCTGTTGAATAAATGCTATCTTGACGAAGAAAAACATCTTTATATTGATCTTGTTTTGGATATGACTTCTTATGGCAAGTTATCTGTGGAGCGATTAGCGGAATATCATTCAAAGCTAAGTCAAATGATTGCCAGTGCGTCTCATCCATAGTGATCTGCTGTCCAAAAACACGCTCTGTTATATCATGGAGATTTTCAAATACACCACCCACACTCATTGTTGAATGAAATTGTATACACTGACGAATATATAAATCAAATACATCTGAACATTTTACCTTTATCGCAGAAAAACTTTCTTGTGCACCTACGGACAATTGAAAGTCTTGCGCGCGCTGTTGAAGACTGACTTCATATTGTAATACACGATGATCATCAGTTGAGGGAGTGTTCGTACGAAATAATCGTTGGAATTGTTTTTGTCGTTCAACGAGAACTTTTGTTGTATGTTCAATAAATTCCATAGAAAAATTCTCGCGGTGCATATCATGTTCGATGAAATACATTTGAACTTTATCAAATATTCGCATTAGTAAATGAACAAATTGTTCGTATGTCTGTTCATCGATTAGATTCGTCTGATCTTCGTTAAAAAGATCATGTTGAATATCATTGATCTGTTGATACAATGCAGAGAACTCATCCTTTTCAGGGTTTTTGTCTCGAAGTCTTCTAGAAATGGTTTTTTTGCTGTCACTTCTGTAGTAATCAGATTGAGCTGATTTAATTTGTGTTTTTAGATCAACAAATCGTTCTTGCAAGCGTTGTTTCCAGTTTTGTCTACTCATGAAAATCAAATGGATCGTTAACAAACGTCAATCCTTACTCTGAAAATTCATCAATCAAGTCCATGAAGAAAATGGTTGCTGCACAGTCGATACTATGAATACAAAGAAAAGAACGACTGAAATGATTTTTTATTTGCAAGAAAAAAGGTAAACAGCAAAATGCACTTCAACAATTTTATACCATACAAAAAAAGAGAATGACAGAACATGGAATCAAATTTGTTGTTTCATGGACATTCGATCATTTCTATCAAGCTTATTTTAAAAATGATATAATTAACGTCAAAAAATGGCTCGTTTCGATGAACATTGATGATCTTAATACAGTTGGATTAGATGGAAATACTGCTCTTCATATCGCATCACGACAAGGTCATTTTAAAATCGTTCTTCTGCTTCTTGAACATCATGTCTCTCGCTCGATTCGAAACGATGAAGAACAAACAGCGGAACACGTTGCATTAACTGATTCCATCAGAGAGCTTCTCAATTCTTCCATACGTCCATTTTCCAATCTGGATACGACTGAAACACATTTTGTTGCTACATCACCTGATATGGAAGGGATTCAATGGATCGATATTTATTCGAATGCTCATCGTATTGTGCATGAAAATCGTAATGAAATGAAATGCTGGTTGACTAAAGTACCATTCATCAACTTGCTCGATGAATTGGATCGCGGTTATATTGAGAAAATTTCTTTCAGTTCGGTTGCGAATCGAGATACCATCAAGGCACATATGCAAAAGGCGATTACCGATCATAGTCCTCTTCCATTGGTAACTGCTTATACAGAATCAACTCGATTTTTTTCCACAATTAATCATGATCTGGCCAAATTAGGTTCTGACTTCCGATTTGAGTGCAGTCTTGCTTTAAGGCGATTTGGCTATCGAGATGATGAAGCACCACAGGGAATGGGGCAGCATATCTTTGTTGCTATACTTATCTATCACTCGGATTTGCAACCTTATTATTATGCAGGTATAACATTTCGTGGAATGAATATTACTCCAAACGATGTTAGTTTGTATGCTTTGGGGAAGATTGTGATGACTCGATCGTTATTATCAACTTCGAAAGAACGTGAAGTCGCCGAAATATACCTTGATTCCACTGGCAGAGAAAGAACTGTACCTGTCATCTGTATTTATAAAGTTAGCAATCCACAATCAAGTCTCAATATCACCCAGTTAAGTAAATTTCAATACGAAAAAGAAGTACTTATTCTCCCGTTTATCTTTTTCGAGTCACTGCAGTCCGTGAAGTGCTAACAGATACCTATCAAAGGATACGTGAGATGGAACTCGAAGACATCAACGAAACTTGAATGATAATCTTCCATGAAATAATTTACATTGTGCCGGAAACTGAAAGATTCAACATGTCGTTTTAGAGATATTAGACAAATAAAACAAAAAGAAAATAAAAAGAATATCGTATCATCAATTAAACACTGTCATAATACAACTCCTTTTACTTTTTTTGTGAACCGAAGTACGCAAAAAAAATGAAGATTTTCGCCATGACTAGTCCGAAACGTCTTGGGCACCCGTCCTCACTTGTCATTTTTTCGAGAAACGTCCATCGATCACGCTTGGACTAGTCCGAAGAGAAGAAAATTGTTATAAAAACATACCGAAAGATGGGTTTGAACATCGCACTCGACAGTCTTCAATACTTAACGCTCATCCTGGTGGCAATCGATAGTTCGCTACGTGGCGCCTCATTCCTCCCCAGTGGAAACGGATTGATAGTCTATGTAGAGTTTTTGATCGTGT